TCAATGGAAATGGCCCAATGATAAGAGTGTGTGTGTGTGTGTGTTATATTGTATGTGTGTGTATAAGGTGTCATTGGGGATGACCCAATGATGTGTGTGTTGTATATGTGTGTATAAGTTGTCATTGGAAATGGCTCTATGATAATAATATGTGCATATGTATTGTGTGTATGTATATATGTGTATGGATTGCATATATATGTATACACACATATACTCACAAGACAATACATGAACTATTAACATGGAGCCATTCCCAATGACAACCTATTTATTTCCATTTTGGGATTATTACAAATAAGTAATATGTGTGTGTATGTATACACACAGAGATACAGATGTCTGTATCTATGTGTTGTGTATAAATCCACACATGCAAAATACATACACACACATTTGTGAGAGGCAGCATAACGGACTTGAAGTCAGAAAGATCTGAGTCCATAGTCTACCCCTGGCACTTACTTAGCTGTGTTAACCATGGGCAAGCAGATTATTTTTCTGAATCTCAGTTTCTTCATATATAAAAGTATGAGAAGACTAACATGAAATAATGCTAAGTGAAGAAAGCAGAATCAAAAATATACATACTGACTGCAACAATATAACAACAACAAATACAGCTTCTACAGCTATTGAGAAAGTCCAAAAGAATCATGAAATAAAGATAAAGTGGGCATTCTATTTTAAAGCCAATATGCAAATCTTTTGGGATGGAGTTATTTGGTAACTAGTTTCTAGACAAATGTACAATCATTTACATTATTGGGGTTCTTTTGTTTGTTTAATCACACATTCTCATTATTCCATTTTCTTTTATTACGTTCTGGTTTGCATATGTAAATAGCAACACTTGTCAGCCAATTCCAACATACTTCCTACTATCATTTCACTTCTTCCAATGAGGAGTAGCATTTTGCTCCTTTCAAATCAATTGTTTTCCTACCTGGTTTAATACTTTTAATTGCTGATTAAATACGGGTGTTCTCACCTGATAAAAGCGTCAGGGTATAAAACATCTTGCTATTTACTTTAAGTGGGGATGGGGAAGGGGGTTATTGATCAACCCTCACTCTTACAACAAAATTAATAATTTAAGTAAAAATGAAGGGGTTCAAATAGAAGATTCTAAGGTTTCTGCCAATTCTCACACTCTTGAATCTATGAAATGCCAAATCCAGTGATCTTTCCTCCTTCCTACATTTAAGTCTTCACCTCCGAAGTGTAGCTGCCATCAAGCGTTGCTATTCCACAGAACCCCAATTGTCACCTGGGCCACTTAGGAATGGCTACAGCAGAACCTCCTTTTTGTGTTTTCCTTTTCCAGGCTTGTTGCTTTACCGCCGCGGGCATGTGTATCCTTGAAGTGGCTTGCCAGGGAGGCAAATGGTATAATAAATGGAAGATAGCGGTGAAAGATAAGCTATTAATAGGAAATGATACGAAAAAAGGAACTTCCGACACAACCGGAGAGAAGGTAATAGCAGAAGAAGGAGGGACGACGGCGACGAGCGGGATGGTGGCGACGAGCCAGCAGAAGCAGCCAGCCGTAATGCAACCGGCAACAGCAGCACCAGAAAAGTGAACAGAGCAGCCCCTCTAAGGTTGCCAGTTTTCAAAACTGTGGTTCAGTACCCTTAATAATCAATGCTCGCAAAACATACAAACACTTCTGTCCTCAATCCTTTCTTTCCAGAAAGATTTCCCCTTAACTTTAGAAGGAATAGTTTATCCTTAGGGAAGAGTTTTCAGTATGTTAAAAGAAGTGGGGTAATTTTAGGAATCAGAAATCTACTGGCTGTCAAGTTGTGGCTTCCGAATTTTAACTATCTGTGTGACCTTGGGCCATTCCCTTACTTTTTCTGGGCCTCAGTTTCCTCATTTGCAAAATGGCAAGATAGGAAGGGCTGTTGAGCTAAAAAGCAGCCGAATACATCTTACCTATGGACATAAAGAGCTGGAAGAGACCTCAAAGAGAATCTAATCCAGAGAAACCCGTGGCCTCGAGGCCACATGTGCCTCCTGGGTCCTTGGGTACAGCATTTTGACTGAGTCCACGATTTACAGAACAAATCCTTTTATTATGGGAATTTGTTCCGTGAAGTTTGGATTCAGTCAAAGGGCTTTGAGGAACTAGAGGGCCACATGTGGCTTCGAGGCCACAGGTTCCCTACTCCTGATCTAGTCCAACCTGTTCATCTTATGACGACAAAACTGAGAGCCTGAGAGTGGAATGATTAACAGAGATAGGTTTTGAACCCAGATCCTCTCACCCCAAATCCAGGGAACTTCACCATAAGGCCTTCTATGAAACTCTTAAGATTATTGTTCTATGAGTACAGAGCAGAAGGATAGTATGAATAATAAGGCTAGATAATATTGATATCCTGTTTTAAGCTTTTGCAAAGCTTTTTACAAACAGTTTATTCAGTCCTTATGTAACTCCATCAGGGAACAGCTTCACCTATTATTTTTCCCATTTTACACAGGCCCAGAGAAATAAAATAATTGCCCCATAGTCACACAGCTATTTTGATATCCAAAGCAGAATTTGAATTCAGGTCTCCCTTGAGACCAAGTCCAGAACTCTTAACAATACAGTATCATAGGCACATCCTTGGGATTGAGCTAAATTATGAAATATCAACTACCAAGTTCTAAAGCTAAATCTGGAGGACACCATTGCAAGATTCTGCTCTGATTATACCAATTATAGGACAACAGATGGAAGGGCTGTCCATGCCAGCATGTGTATATATGTGTAAATATATTAGAGTTTACTGGGTTAATTGGCAGTTTACTCATGAGACTGGTCCTTGGCAGCAGAAAGACTGAATAGTGGATACCTTATGCCAAGTATAGAAACAAAACAAAGAATAGATAGTGCCAGGGATGGTCCGGAGTCACACTCAAATTTTTCCATGAGATAGTTGGAGTTTCTTTTACTGTTTACATTAATTCAATTTACATTAACTGTAGAGTCGACACTCTGGCTCCTGCCATGCGTACCTCATCAAGGCTCAAATCCCCTCTAGGCTGTGCACTTAAGATCTTACTTTCAAGCAATAAAATCTAGTGAAATAAGCTTTCACTATTACTATGTGCCAGGCACTTTCCTAAGCTCTGGGGATACAGAGACAACCCTTGCTCTCAAGGAGCTCACATAATGGGGGAGAAAACATGCCAACAACCATAAATACAAGATATATACAGGAGGCACTCACATTAAGGGGGATCCAGAAATGTTTTTTACAGAAGGTAGGATTTTAGCAGGAATCTGAAGGAAGCCAGGAAAGCCAGAAGGTGGTGATGAGGAGGGAGACATGGTCAAACTATGCTTTAGGAAATGCAATTAACTGAGTGGAGGAGGAATCAGAGTGGGGAAAGGAGGCAGAGAGACCAACAATAAACTAAACAGAATTCCTGGGGAAACAAAGATACCTACTCATGCTCCTGACTTAGCTCCTTCCTGGTAAGGCAGGCAGGGTTGGGGGAACTTCCCACTGAAAAGCCTATTCAGGCTTTTTGGAGTGTCAGAGTAGGACAGATCTGAAGAGTCCATCAGCACTGAGGGTAGTACAAAGCTGGTTTAAATAGCAACTGCTGATACTTATCTCCAGGGCCCAGCCCTAGAGGAATTCTTCTCCTGACACCCCACAAGGAAGTTAAGGTGAGCAAAAAAGGGGAAAAGACATTTTGTAATGCAGGAAGAAGGGTATTTGGTTTAAGGGTGAGGTGAGACTATTCCAGAGGGTTCTGAATGTCTGTTTCTGTCTCCTCTCAAACGAGGGGTACTGGGGCGGGGTGCGAGGGGGAGAGTCTCATTTATGTGGGAACAAACCTGCTCCAAAACAGGAGTATGAAGTCCAGAGGATTTAGAATTGAAAGAGACCCGTTTCAATCCCTTCATTTTGCAGATGAGGAAACATAAGAAAGAGATACAGGAAACACAATTGCTAAGCTGGCAGCTTGCTTGTACTGCTTATGTCCCATTCTCCCCCCACCCATATTTTGCAGATAAAAATTGAATGAGCATCTGCTATGTGCCAAGCATTGTCTTAGGTCCTGGGGAAACATACAAAAGTGAGACAGCTACTTCTATTAGGGGGATACGATATATACTTGTAGTTGTTCAGTCGTGTCTGACTCTTCATGACCCCATTTGGGGTTTTCTTGGAAAAGGTACTGGAGTAGTTTTCCATTTCCTTCTCCAGCTCGTTTGACAGATGAGGAAACAAAGGCAAACAGGGTTTAGTGACTTGCCCAGGGTCACACAGCTAGTAAGTATCTGAGGCTGGATTTGAACTGGATTTGAACTTCCTGACTCCAGGCCTGGCGCTCTGTCTACTTTGTGCCACCAAATAAAAAGAAGACATAATAATGATGATACCATTTATATAGCGCTTTAGAGTTTTCAAAGTGATTTACAAATGTTACCTCATTTGGTTTTCACCACAACTTTGTGAGGTAGGTGTTAGGATTATCCCCATTTTGCTAATGAGGAAACAGATTTGCCCAGGGTCACAAAGCTAATAAGGGCAGAGGGGCTGGATTTTAAATCAGATCTTCTGACTCTAGGTCTACTGTGTCATCTAATTGCAAAATAAATGCAAAGGAGGGCCACTAACAACTTTGGGGATCAGAAGAGGACTCCTAGAAGCAGGAGAGGCTTGAAGATTCAGTTAAGGGTTCCAAGAGGCAGAAATGAGGAAGGCAGGCAAACACTCCAGGCACAGGGGACAGCCCGTGTAAAGGCTAGGGGACAGAAGGTAGAATATGGTGAAAGTGAGACAGCGAGGTCCCTGAGGGAACTGGGGAGGGAAGGAAGGGGGGAGGGGTGATTTTCCCAAGGTCACACAGCATGCCAGGGGCGGAGCCCAAGATGGGACTACAACCAAGATCCCCAGTCTGTCTCACAAATCAAATCCTTCTACACGCACAAGTGATCCCATTCAGTCTTGCCTTCTCCAGCAGAGGATCTTAGAGTCGGCAAGGCGGGATTGCAGGCGGGCACGTAGAGAATCCCAGGGGTGGGGGGCTGGGTGTGGAATACACGGAAACGCAAGGAATCCCAGCAAGGAGGGTGCACCGGAGCACTCAGGGGGCTTTCACGGAGGTACACTGGGGGTCCCGGGATTGGGGGGAAGGGCGATGCACAGAGGACACAGGGGACCCAGAGTTGGAGGGCGGTAGCTCTACAGGCACCTGAAAGGGTGCCGGGGGGCCTCTGCGGGGGCGCGCAGGGGGTCCCAAGGAGTGGGTGGTTCCACCGGGGCTCGCTCCGCGATTGCAGAAGGGAGTGGGGTGGGGGAGAGGGTGGGCGCGGGGGCAGCAGCCGTTGGGAGCCGACTCCCCAGAGAAGGCTTCTTGGGACGGGGCCGCAGTTGCGGCTGGCCCGGAGTCCGTCCCCGTCCGCCACTCGCCATGTCGCCCGCAAAGATGGGCACAAGTGGGGAAACGAAGCAGGGGGGACTGAAGCGTGGGGGACTGAAGTTTGTGGGACCGAAGCATAGGGTACGGAAGCGTGAGGGACCGCAGGATGGGGTACCGACCGCTGAGGGACCACAGGATGGGGTACCGACGGCTGAGGGACCGCAGGATGGGGTACCGACGGCTGAGGGACCGCAGGATGGGGTACCAAAGGGTGAGGGACCGCAGGATGGGGTACCGAAGGGTGAGGGATCAAAGGATGGGGTACCAAAGGGTGAGAGACCGCAGGATAGGGTACCGAAGGGTGAGGGACCGCAGGATGGGGTACCGAAGGGTGAG